AAATGAATAAATATTAAAATTTAAACGAATAAATTATGAACTGAGCCTGTTCCCTGTGACCTTTGACCTCTCAGGTGTTTCCAGTCCGTCCTGGTCCACATGCAGATGCTCTGGGAGCTCGTGTTGCTCGGGGAACCGCTGGTTGTCATGGCGCCGTCTCCCACCGTCTCCTCGGAGACCGTGCTGGCTCTCATCAGGTAACTGAACAGCCAATCAGGAACCAGATCATTAACGATCTCATCAGCTGTTAATTTACCTGCAGACACCGGATCAATTTCTACTTCAGTAACAAGAGAGGGTCACATGACCGAGCAGCTGGTCAGTAACGCGGGGGGGGGGGGGGGTGTCACCTGACTGCTGTGAGTTTTCATTGATCCAGACGAAGCTGCTCACTCTTTAATCCTGGCAGCCAATCAGAGAGCAGTGTGTTTGTTGTTGCTGTGGTAACACTGTGTCTCTCAGCTCCATCAGTCCTCTGAAGTTTTGCTGCGACTTCCGGCCGTATTTCACCGTCCACGACAACGAGTTCAGAGAGTTCACCACCAGAACACAGGCCCCGTGAGTACTGGACTCACCTGTCTCTCTCTCTCTGTCCTCACTCACCCTGTCTCTCTGTCTGTCCTCACTCACCTGTCTCACCTATCCTCCTCAGGCCTAACGTGGTTCTGGGAGTCACCAATCCGTTCTTCATTAAGACTTTTCAGAACTGGCCTCACGTGGTCCGGCTGGGAGACGTCAGGATGGCAGGTAAGAAGAGACGGTTCTGAGGTGATGACTCAGGGATGACTCGCCTGTTTACCTGTCTCATGTCTTTCAGGTGATTTACCGAAACAGGTGAAGGTGAAGAAATTGTCCAAGCTGAAGACCCTGGACACTAAACCAGGTCACCTGACTCTAAACTCAGTCTCATGCTGAAGAACATCCTGTTTTATTGTGAAGAACATCCTGTTTTGTTGTGGTAAATGCTGACTTCCTGTCTGCAGGTATCTACACGGCGTACAGGACGTACCTGCACAAAGACAAGGTTCTGATCAAACGGCTGCTAAAGGTGAACGAACGTCCACAAGAGGACGTGTAAAGATTATTGATCGTTGACATGAAGACGTGTAAAGATTATTTATCGTTATTGATCGTTATCGTGTAAAGTTTATTGATAGTTATCGTTGACACAAAGACGTGTAAAGATTATTAATCGTTATTGTTGACATGAAGATGTGTAAAGATTAAGATGTGTAAAAATTATTGATCGTTGACACGAAGACGTGTTAAGATTATTGATCGGTGACACGGACACGTGTTAAGATTAAGACGTGTAAAGATTAATGATCGTTGACATGAAGACGTGTAAAGATTATTGATCGTTGACACGAAGACATGTAAAGATTATTGATCGTTGACACGAAGACGTGTAAAGATTATTGATCGTTGACACGAAGACGTGTAAAGATTATTGATCGTTGACATGAAGACGTGTAAAGATTATTGATCGTTGACACGAAGACGTGTAAAGATTATTTTTCGTTATCGTTGACATGAAGACGTGTAAAGATTATTGATCGTTGACATGAAGACGTGTAAAGATTATTTTTCGTTGACATGAAGACGTGTAAAGATTATTGATCGTTGACATGAAGACGTGTAAAGATTATTTTTCGTTATCGTTGACATGAAGACGTGTAAAGATTATTTTTCGTTGACATGAAGACGTGTAAAGATTATTGATCGTTGACATGAAGACGTGTAAAGATTACTGATCGTTATCGTTGACATGAAGACGTGTAAAGATTATTTTTCGTTATCGTTGACATGAAGACGTGTAAAGATTATTGATCGGTGACACGGACACGTGTTAAGATTAAGACGTGTAAAGATTATTGATCGTTGACATGAAGACGTGTAAAGATTATTGATCGTTATCGTTGACATGAAGACGTGTAAAGATTATTGATCGTTATCGTTGACATGAAGACGTGTAAAGATTATTGATCGTTGACATGAAGACGTGTAAAGATTAATGATCGTTATCGTTGACATGAAGACGTGTAAAGATTATTGATCGTTATCGTTGACATGAAGACGTGTAAAGATTATTGATCGTTGACATGAAGACGTGTAAAGATTACTGATCGTTATCGTTGACATGAAGACGTGTAAAGATTATTGATCGTTATCGTTGACATGAAGACGTGTAAAGATTATTGATCGTTATCGTTGACATGAAGACGTGTAAAGATTATTGATCGTTGACATGAAGACGTGTAAAGATTATTGATCGTTGACATGAAGACGTGTAAAGATTAATGATTGTTGACACGAAGACGTGTAAAGATTATTTTTCGTTATCGTTGACATGAAGACGTGTAAAGATTATTGATCGTTGACATGAAGACGTGTAAAGATTATTTTTCGTTATCGTTGACATGAAGACGTGTAAAGATTATTTTTCGTTATCGTTGACATGAAGACGTGTAAAGATTATTGATCGGTGACACGGACACGTGTTAAGATTAAGACGTGTAAAGATTATTGATCGTTGACATGAAGACGTGTAAAGATTATTGATCGTTATCGTTGACATGAAGACGTGTAAAGATTATTGATCGTTATCGTTGACATGAAGACGTGTAAAGATTATTGATCGTTGACATGAAGACGTGTAAAGATTAATGATCGTTATCGTTGACATGAAGACGTGTAAAGATTATTGATCGGTGACATGAAGACGTGTAAAGATTAATGATTGTTGACATGAAGACGTGTAAAGATTAATGATCGTTATCGTTGACATGAAGACGTGTAAAGATTATTGATCGTTATCGTTGACATGAAGACGTGTAAAGATTATTGATCGGTGACATGAAGACGTGTAAAGATTACTGATCGTTATCGTTGACATGAAGACGTGTAACGATTATTGATCGTTATCGTTGACATGAAGACGTGTAAAGATTATTGATCGTTGACATGAAGACGTGTAAAGATTAATGATCGTTATCGTTGACATGAAGACGTGTAAAGATTATTGATCGTTATCGTTGACATGAAGACGTGTAAAGATTATTGATCGTTGACATGAAGACGTGTAAAGATTAATGATCGTTATCGTTGACATGAAGACGTGTAAAGATTATTGATCGGTGACATGAAGACGTGTAAAGATTACTGATCGTTATCGTTGACATGAAGACGTGTAACGATTATTGATCGTTATCGTTGACATGAAGACGTGTAAAGATTATTGATCGTTATCGTTGACATGAAGACGTGTAAAGATTATTGATCGTTATCGTTGACACGAAGACGTGTAAAGATTATTGATCGTTATCGTTGACATGAAGACGTGTAAAGATTAATGATTGTTGACACGAAGATGTGTAAAGATTGATCGTCAAACAGAATCGTGTTTGTGTCTTTAGGGGATCCAGAGGAAGAGACCGTCAGAGGTCCAGACCGCCATCCTAAGGAGACACCTGTTAGAGCTCACGCAGAGCTTCATCATTCCGCTGGTGAGAAACAGCCAATCACATCGCTCTGTTCACTACATGTCGTGACGATGACTCGTGATCCAGTTTGTCCAATCAAAGAGCAGAAAATCTGTGTATTGAGTTTAACCCTGTGTCTTGTCTGATAGGAGCGGTACATGGCGAGCCTGATGCCTCTGCAGAGATCGGTGACGCCGTGGAAGGTAACAGGAAGTGGATCACCTGTGATGTCAGCAGTGTGGGGGGGACACCTGGTTGATTCTGTCTGTGTGCTCAGACTCCTCCTCAGGTTCGACCCTTCAGTCAGGAAGAGTTCATGTCCACTCTGGATCACACCGGGCCTCAGCTCACGTCAGTGCTCAAAGGTGATTGGATGGGACTGTACAGGTGAGTCATTCAGGTGTGTTCAGGACGTTTTAAAGGTCTTTTCCTGTTTCGCTTCTCAGGAACTCATTTCTGTTGTTCTGAACTCGACAGGAAGTTCTTCAGGTCTCCCAACTTTGATGGATGGTATCGTCATCGACATAAAGAGATGACTCAGAAACTGGAGAGTCTTCACCTGGAGGTCATCTGTGACGCCGTGAGTCCCTGTTTACTGTAAACATACAGCTTTTAGAATGTAAACATCTACTAAACAGCTGTTCACTGTCAACAAACATCTGTGACTCTGTGAGTCCCTCCATCAGACCACTGTTGACAGTAAACACCTGGTGAACCTGGTGCCCTGTTCTCCCCAGGACCTGCTGAGGTGGACCAAAGACAAGTCCGAGGTGGAGATCGTGGACCTGGTTCTGAAGCTCAGAGAGAAGCTGGTGAGCGAATCAGAGTCAGAAACTGAATCTGAAAGAAAAGTCAAAGGTTTGAAACCATAAAGTCAGAATAAAAACCAGTGAGGAGAGAGAGTAACAACGCTTCCTGTCACTAACACTGTGAGGTCACCTGTGTAATGACACAGGTGAGTCGGCCGATCAGGTAACGTGTCATCGCATTAATCAGATGTGCTTTCAAATACTGAGACGCATTTTTACCCAGGTTTTTCAGATAAAAGCTTACAGGCGCGTCTGAAGCCTTTAATGCCAGTGACTGGAACAGGAAGTGCATTTGATTTTCAGATTAAAGCTCGCAGGCGCGTCTGAAGCCTTTAATTCTAGTGACAGGAAGTGTGTTTCTGACTTTTTCAGATTAAAGCTCGACGGCAGCAGCTGCAGGTGAAGGACGGAGTTTTAAACAAACTGGATACTTTTATAAACTCCATCATCAGAACGCTGCCTGGAGACCTGCAGACGGTCCTGAGTACACACTAAGTACACAGTAAATACACTGAATGTATACAGTACAGACCCACAGTGTCGCAGCAGCTTGTCAGATGTTTTTTGGGGAACGTTTGGATGTAATGTTGCTGAGACCATTTGTTTTCATTCATTTCAGCTTTCACACATTTGTAATATTCTAATTTAATAAAAGTTCTGCCTTCAAAAGATAAATGACTGTATTTTATTTCTGCTGACTACAGAACACAGCTGAACTCAGTGATGGAACATTAAGAGTATCACGCCACGTCTTGTTTGTGGAATCCTTTGCAACATAGAATCTCTCCTGGTGCATGTTAACAAGTCCTGCGATCCGAATGACGCATTGTGATCGGATTAGGAACTTTTTCAGCTGAGCCTCAGAGTCACGCTCATTAAATATCTTTTTTATGACTCTTGAAGAAAGGCCCAGATGTTAAAATCATTTTGATCTGAAAGTAAAGATGAAATGTTGCCTCGACTAGAAAACAACGTGGAATCCCTGAAATGAACCAAACTGAGTTTGTGAAGCAGGAAAAAGTTTAATTTCAACAAGGGAATCAAAAATATACATGAGTGATTTGAGTTTCTCACAGCTGTTCATACAGGAGCAGCTGACAGAAACCGAACTTCATCAAGTTTTTCTATGAATTTAAACGTCACATGATCATCAGGAAACTACAGCCCCCTTCATATCAACATCCTGTCAGAGGTTTAAGAAACTACAGATTCTTCTTCAGGGGTTTTAGGATCTCTTGCCGGCGGTCCACCAGGTCGCCCCCTGCAGCCTCATGACGCTGAGTTTCTCCTGCGGGCTGAAGTGCAGGATGGTCAGGATGGCGGTGAGCGTCTGCTGCCTCCCGCTGGCGTCCTGCAGTGTCAGGAACTTGTAGATGACGTTCTTCAGGTACTCCATGTTGGCGCCCTCTCTGCTCTGATCTCTGATCAGCTTGTCGAGTTGTCCTCGCAGCTCGTACACCTCCTCGTCGTGTCGCTCTCCGTTGGCGATCAGCCTCGCCTGCAGCTGGTGGAGGTCCTCCTCCAGCCGGTGTTTCTGGCGCCGCAGGCCGGCCGCCTCCACCTCCTTCCTGGCCAGCTGCTCGGCGTACAGCAGCAGTGTGGGCTCGTTGGGCGTCGCTCGCTGCAGGGCCTGGCTGATGATGTCACCCTCGCTCTCGGGGCCAGACTCGTGGTCGTCGGCGACCATCTTGTCCGTGTCGCTGCTGCAGCTGAGCGCGGCGGTCCGCAGCCTCTCCAGCTCCTGGTCTTTCTCGTCCAGGAGCGCCATGGTTCTCTCTCTCTGTTTGTGAAGCTCCGCCTCCAGGCGCAGCAGGTCGTCGCGGTGCAGCGCCTCCAACCTCTCCACTTCCTGTCTGTGAGTCTGCTGCAGCGCCGCCGCCTGCTGCTGCCGCTCCTCCAGCTCGTGGCGGTGTCGGGCCTCGGCCTCGTCGCTCTGGATCCGCAGGTTGATGTACTTCTCCTTCAGCTCTGACAGCTGGTCCCGGATCTCCTCCAGCTCCTTGGCCTGGCAGCCATCTTTGGTGTTCTTGTTCTTCAACACCACCTGCGCTCGCAGCTTGTAGCGCTCAAACTCGTCCTTGAGCTGCCGCAGCTCCTGCTGGTAGAACAGCGCCGAGCCTTTGTCTCCGCTGAGCTCAGCCTCGGTCTCCACGAGGTTCTGGATCTGGATATTCTGGTCCTGGTTCCTCTGAGCCGCTAGCTGCAGCAGTTTCTTCACCTTCTCCAGCTTGTCCCTCAGCAAGCTGACGTCCAGCTGAGACTCGTCCACGCCGAGGTCAGAGGTCGTCCTGCTGGAGGCGGCGATGGCGAGCGTTTTGTTCTCCGTATCGAGCTGCAGGATCCGGTCCCTGAGCCTCTGAGCGGTCTGCTGGTCTCTCTGCCTCATCTTCTCACAGGATCCCAGCAGCTCCGACAGTTCAGAGACTCTTTGCTCCAGACCGGCAACCCTCACCTCTGCCGCCTGAGCGCGCTCACGCGCACGCTCCTCCGCATCACACGCCTGTAGAAGACACAAACCGTCATGAGACACCGAAGACTACGTGGGAAAAGGTCTGTACTTGTACCTTTCTAGTCTTTAGACCTCATCACAACCTTTTACACAGTGACGGAGAGTCTGGGGTTCAGTTTCTTGACCAAGGTCACTTTGACATGTTGACTGGGGGAGATGGGGATCGAAACTGTTCTGAAAATTGGACGACCGCTCTCCCACCTGAGCCACAGTTTCCCCTGTCCCCCTAGACCTGGTTTTAGATACAACAGAGACCGGATCTAACTAAAACCAGGTCTAAACTAACCAATGCAGTCCCGGCTCTGTTGTACCTTCAGGTTGTGGAACCGCTTTGGTTAGTTTAGACTTGAGCTGCTCAAATGTCATTTTTGAGCTTCGATAGAAATTAAGAGCGAATAATCAAAGCCGAACCGGGTTGGTGGCTGCTGTGCAGAGCAGGGGGAACCGTAGCTGAGGGTCCAGAGAGGGTCTGATCCAGCAGGTCCAGAGCAGAATCCAGGAATAGTTTCGCGGGGCGGGGTCCAGGCGGAGAGCAGACAGGATGAGCGGTGTTTCCCGTAGCGGAACTAAATCTGCAAATTATGCAAAATTCTCTCTTAACTTTAATTGCTGTTTGTTTCCAGCCTACAGTTTGAAACTGATTAATTTTAGAATGTAAGAATTTGACTGTTTTGATCTGTAATGAAATTAAGCAGTTGTAAAATTTATAAATGGCATAACTTCCACCCTGCTGCCGTCACTCAGGTTAAAGTGCTCCCACACAGCTGAGGGCTTCTTTTAGTTTCCCCTTTGATGTGAACTGGAGCGTTGCGTTCACTGCTGTCAGCGGAGGTCAGGCGCGCAAAAAAACCCTTAATAATTGAATCTCATAATTGAAAATCTAATGTGTGCGCCCAATGGTCGAATATTCTAATATTCGGGTCCAGCCCTAGTTTAGACCTGGTTTTAGTTAGATCTGGGAGGCAGAGAGGGAGAGAGGGAGAAGAGATGCTGAGAGAATATTTGCGCTGCGTGGAGCTCTGTCATCAAATACGATTTTACCCATTTTAAAATCAATGGAAAATCAGCATTGATAATGTGGCAGGACGCCACAAATAAATCAGTGTGTGGGAAACGCCTCCTGGATCGCCAGCTGGATCTTTGCCTTTATGAAGGCGAGAGTGTCAGCATCTGTGACTGAAGTAAAGTTAATGTGCTGAAGGCTGCAGGGACGTGAGGCTACGCGCTGCAACATCATCCTCACTTTGATCACGTTACAAGACCAGAAACCGCTCCACAGGTCTCAGTTACTGCTGCCAGTTTAAGATATATGCATATTAGCAAGTTATGGCAGAAGAGAGAAAAGGCTTAACAGCCAATGATAACTTACATCGTGATCAACCACCTTTATCCGTCATAGTTGGAGTTTATTTTTATTGTAGAAAACACTTAACGGCTTATTTCAACAACCCGAAACATAAAATGGTGTTGAAACAGTATCAGATTACAAACAAACCAAAAGAAAGAAGGAAACTGTGTCTTATTAAAGTATCATAATGCGTCTGTGTTGCAGGATTTTGCTAAATGTGGTTGATGGATTTTATCGTTTGAGTTTCAGAACGTTGCCGCCGCAAGGAATTGTGGGATGGCATTCTCTCCTTTCCTTTCATAAAGGATGGTCCGGTGTACCCTATGCTAAAGGAGATATGAAAGGAAGCATTGAGGCTCCTTTCCTCGGCTTCTAGAGAATCCGAACAGCTCTCATCATGGCTGCCGCTGAAATACTTCCAGTTCACTTCACTCAGTCAGAACCTTCCTGAGCAAAAAAGATTTTTCGGGTGCAGCCCTGGTTTTAGTTGCAGAACTGCTTTGGTTAGTTTAGACCTGGTTTTACTTAGATCCGGTCTCTGTTGTACCTTCCTGGTCTCGTTGTGGAACTGCTGTGCTTAGTTCAGACCTGGTTTTAGTTAAATCCGGTCTCAGTTTTACCTTCCTGGTCTCGTTGTGGAACTGCTGTGCTTAGTTCAGACCTGGTTTTAGTTAAATCTGGTCTTAGTTTTACCTTCCTGGTCTCGTTGTGGAACTGCTGTGCTTAGTTCAGACCTGGTTTTAGTTAAATCTGGTCTTAGTTTTACCTTCCTGGTCTCGTTGTGGAACTGCTGCTGGAAGTGGTTTTTCAGCTTTGTCAGCTCTCGCTGCAGTTCGTCCACTCTGGGATCTGGTTTCTTCTGGTCCTCCTCGGCGGCTTGCAGCCTCCTCCTCAGCTCATCTCTCTCCTCCCTCACCTTGCTCAGGTGAGCCTCAGACTCTGCCCCCCGGTCCACGGCTTGTGATGTCATGAGGAGCGTGGCGTTGGCGTCCTGTAGGCGGAGCTCTGCTTCCTGTCGCAGGTCTCTCTCCTGCTGCAGGATCCGCTGCAGCTCTCGCAGCTGCTGGACGTGGTCTCCCTGCTCCTGCTCCCTCTCGTGCTGCTGCGTGATGATGCGAGCGCGGCTCTCAGCCAACTGCTGCTGCAGGGCATGCAGCTCCGCCTCATGCTGCGTGGTCACGGCGACCAGGCGCTCCTGCAGCTCCTCCACCTCCTGCTTCAGCTGGCGCTTGTCGGCCTGGAAGTTCGCCTCCATCCGAGACTTCTCCTGCGTCACTGTGGCCAGGGCGCTGGTGAGCGTGCTCAGTTGGCTCTTCCGCCGGGCGGCTCGGCGGTCCACCTCTGCGCTTGCCTGTTGCTGCGGCTCCACTCCCACGGTGGTGCTCTCTGAGCCGCCAGCATCGGGGTCGGACCTGAGGGACTGCAGGTAGGAAACATCACGTGAAACTGCTGCCACAATCTACATGCGTCATCAACCAGTACGACTTCATGCCACCATCGGATGTTGCACATTTATTATCGCTAACTCCACTGTGTAACTCCTGCGCCCGGCCAGAGTGTGATAACAATAGTCATATTCTAGTCGAGTTAACCATGGTTTAATCGACTATATCATGGTCTCGTCTCCCTCTAGTCGACTTGGTCATGCTATCCTTTAGTCAAGTCTGTCATGCTCTAGTCGAGTCGGTCATGGTCTCGTCTCCCTCTAGTCGACTTGGTCATGCTAACCTTTAGTCAAGTCTGTCATGGACTCGTCTCCCTCTAGTCGACTTGGTCATGCTATCCTTTAGTCAAGTCTGTCATGCTCTAGTCGAGTCGGTCATGGTCTCGTCTCCCTCTAGTCGACTTGGTCATGCTAACCTTTAGTCAAGTCTGTCATGGACTCGTCTCCCTCTAGTCGACTTGGTCATGCTATCCTTTCGTCAAGTCTGTCATGCTCTAGCCGAGTCGGTCATGGTCTCGTCTCCCTCTAGTCGACTTGGTCATGCTAACCTTTAGTCAAGTCTGTCATGGACTCGTCTCCCTCTAGTCGACTTGGTCATGCTATCCTTTAGTCAAGTCTGTCATGCTCTAGCCGAGTCGGTCATGGTCTCGTCTCCCTCTAGTCGACTTGGTCATGCTATCCTTTAGTCAAGTCTGTCATGCTCTAGCCGAGTTGGTCATGGTCTCGTCTCCCTCTAGTCGACTTGGTCATGCTATCCTTTTGTCAAGTCTGTCATGCTCTAGTCGAGTCGGTCATGGTCTCGTCTCCCTCTAGTCGACTTGGTCATGCTATCCTTTCGTCAAGTCTGTCATGCTCTAGTCGAGTCGGTCATGGTCTCGTCTCCCTCTAGTCGACTTGGTCATGCTATCCTTTCGTCAAGTCTGTCATGCTCTAGTCGAGTCGGTCATGGTCTCGTCTCCCTCTAGTCGACTTGGTCATGCTATCCTTTCGTCAAGTCTGTCATGCTCTAGTCGAGTCGGTCATGGTCTCGTCTCCCTCTAGTCGACTTGGTCATGCTATCCTTTCGTCAAGTCTGTCATGCTCTAGTCGAGTCGGTCATGGTCTCGTCTCCCTCTAGTCGACTTGGTCATGCTATCCTTTAGTCAAGTCTGTCATGGATTCGTCTCCCTCTAGTCGACTTGGTCATGCTATCCTTTAGTCAAGTCTGTCATGGATTCGTCTCCCTCTAGTCGACTTGGTCATGCTATCCTTTCGTCAAGTCTGTCATGCTCTAGCCGAGTCGGTCATGGTCTCGTCTCCCTCTAGTCGACTTGGTCATGCTATCCTTTCGTCAAGTCTGTCATGCTCTAGTCGAGTCGGTCATGGTCTCGTCTCCCTCTAGTCGACTTGGTCATGCTATCCTTTCGTCAAGTCTGTCATGCTCTAGCCGAGTCGGTCATGGTCTCGTCTCCCTCTAGTCGACTTGGTCATGCTATCCTTTCGTCAAGTCTGTCATGCTCTAGTCGAGTCGGTCATGGTCTCGTCTCCCTCTAGTCGACTTGGTCATGCTATCCTTTCGTCAAGTCTGTCATGCTCTAGTCGAGTCGGTCATGGTCTCGTCTCCCTCTAGTCGACTTGGTCATGCTATCCTTTCGTCAAGTCTGTCATGCTCTAGTCGAGTCGGTCATGGTCTCGTCTCCCTCTAGTCGACTTGGTCATGCTATCCTTTCGTCAAGTCTGTCATGCTCTAGTCGAGTCGGTCATGGTCTCGTCTCCCTCTAGTCGACTTGGTCATGCTATCCTTTCGTCAAGTCTGTCATGCTCTAGTCGAGTCGGTCATGGTCTCGTCTCCCTCTAGTCGACTTGGTCATGCTATCCTTTCGTCAAGTCTGTCATGCTCTAGTCGAGTCGGTCATGGTCTCGTCTCCCTCTAGTCGACTTGGTCATGCTATCCTTTCGTCAAGTCTGTCATGCTCTAGCCGAGTCGGTCATGGTCTCGTCTCCCTCTAGTCGACTTGGTCATGCTATCCTTTCGTCAAGTCTGTCATGCTCTAGCCGAGTCGGTCATGGTCTCGTCTCCCTCTAGTCGACTTGGTCATGCTATCCTTTCGTCAAGTCTGTCATGCTCTAGCCGAGTCGGTCATGGTCTCGTCTCCCTCTAGTCGACTTGGTCATGCTATCCTTTCGTCAAGTCTGTCATGCTCTAGCCGAGTCGGTCATGGTCTCGTCTCCCTCTAGTCGACTTGGTCATGCTATCCTTTCGTCAAGTCTGTCATGCTCTAGCCGAGTCGGTCATGGTCTCGTCTCCCTCTAGTCGACTTGGTCATGCTATCCTTTCGTCAAGTCTGTCATGCTCTAGCCGAGTCGGTCATGGTCTCGTCTCCCTCTAGTCGACTTGGTCATGCTATCCTTTCGTCAAGTCTGTCATGCTCTAGTCGAGTCGGTCATGGTCTCGTCTCCCTCTAGTCGACTTGGTCATGCTATCCTTTCGTCAAGTCTGTCATGCTCTAGCCGAGTCGGTCATGGTCTCGTCTCCCTCTAGTCGACTTGGTCATGCTATCCTTTCGTCAAGTCTGTCATGCTCTAGTCGAGTCGGTCATGGTCTCGTCTCCCTCTAGTCGACTTGGTCATGCTATCCTTTCGTCAAGTCTGTCATGCTCTAGTCGAGTCGGTCATGGTCTCGTCTCCCTCTAGTCGACTTGGTCATGCTATCCTTTCGTCAAGTCTGTCATGCTCTAGTCGAGTCGGTCATGGTCTCGTCTCCCTCTAGTCGACTTGGTCATGCTATCCTTTCGTCAAGTCTGTCATGCTCTAGTCGAGTCGGTCATGGTCTCTCCCTCTAGTCGACTTGGTCATGCTATCCTTTCGTCAAGTCTGTCATGCTCTAGCCGAGTCGGTCATGGTCTCGTCTCCCTCTAGTCGACTTGGT